CTGACACAGTGCTGGGGAGAAAAAAGAGATGAAAGAAGAAGAAAGCAGTGGGGTCTGTGCCAGGTTCCATGCTGCTTATCTTCTGCGCACGTGACCTAGTGTGGCTTTGGTAGCCTGTTCAGAGTCTACTTCAGGAGGCAAGGAAAATTAAGAAGAATGGTTACAGTTAACGATGCACAAAAATACAGAGATAGCATAATTGGTTCTGCTGAGTCTTCTGGGTCAGCTCAGTGGGTCACCTTGTATCCCATGATTGCAGGATTTGAGTTAGTAAAGAGGACGACCACTGCCTCCTAATAGCACCCTCCCATGCAGGCTGCAGCCACGCTCCAGTGCTCGATTCAGAAACTCTGGTAAGGTGTGGGTTGAAAGCAGACATTTTTGGGTGATTAGTTCTGTTTTTAATCCACATACAGTCTGGAATGGAAAAGTAGCCACATTTTATTTTAAAGAGTGTCTAGGGACAGTGCCAGAATCTTTCTTTCAGCACATTTTCTGATTAGCTAGGTATAAAAGTATTTTAGTGTTACTTAAAAATAAAATCTTGACCTTTTATAGGTCTTATGATTTTTCCAATTACAAAACACTCCTCTTCCTGTGTGATTGATTTTTAGACATTAGAAATCAAATATTAGGGTGTGTGTTGAGAATGGACTTGCTGACAGAATGAATGCTTCAGAAGAACCTTTTTGACTCTGGAAAGTGAATTATATTAAATTTCCTCGACTTCAGTGCATTGTTATAACAAGTGAAAGTATTCCAGCCTGAAAAAAAAAATCTGGCAGACAGTTTGTCTTTCTTTAAGACTGTGAAATGTAAGATTGTGTGAGTCTTACTTGTTTGCTGAAAGAAAAAAGTGGTACCTTGAGCAGAGACAGCTCTGGTAGGATGCCAGATGGAGAGTAAGAGAAAAATAGGGATAGAAACCCTTTCTCTGAGAAAGGATCGTGGAAACTTCTTCAGCCCTGAGATCTAAGTATAGAACTGGCCCTTTTTGCCTTGCTTAGCTGAATGTCATGTGTCTTAGAGTGTTTGGCCAGAACATGATGGCTACAATCCCATCAGCACATCCTTATACCATGACATGACCAGCAAGATCACAGAATTTCATGCAAGCTGTGCCCCAGAAGGTGCGCAGTTGCCGGCAAGGGCCTCTGTAGTGCTTTTCCATGCCACGAGGCCACATGTTTTAGAAGGTTCCGGGGGGGTTAGAATTTACTCACCCCTGGCAGCACCAGGAGCATTAGATTCCACATTAGCCACATAGGTAACAGTTGCAGAAAGTGTGATGCTGTGTTTTTGAACCACTGCTGACAGTTGTGCCTGGAGTTAGGGAAAGCCATGGGTGTCATCCTACCTCATCCAGAACAGTAGCCTCAGCACTGCTCCTCTTCTGAGAAGTGCCCCACGGTGTTTTTGGGGTTTTTTTGTTTGTTTGTTTGTTTTGCGGTACGCGGGCCTCTCACTGTTGTGGCCTCTCCCGTTGCGGAGCACGGGCTCCGGACGCGCAGGCTCAGCGGCCATGGCTCACGGGCCCAGCCGCTCCGCGGCATGTGGGATCTTCCCAGACTGGGGCACGAACCCGCGTCCCCTGCATCGGCAGGCGGACTCTCAACCACTGCGCCACCAGGGAAGCCCCCCCACGATGTTTTTAATCTGTTGGCAAATATTTGTCGAGTTCCAGCTGTGCTCCAGCTTTGGTTAGATGCTGTAGTTGAGGTGGTCATATGATTTATCATCAGAGTCACTTTTGGAGTGAGAAGGAGCTAGTGGTGATAATACTGAGACAGTACTTATCAGCTGGGCCTGTCATTCTGGCCACCAGAATGGGCAATTGCCTGAACCATAGGGGATTTAAGAGTGCCATTCATATCCTTGGGCCACACTCTAAAGGATACTTACAACCCCGTTAGAGAGCTGGCACTTAAACAGTAAACAATTCAAGAACATTATAAAAAAGTCCTTCTCTTCCGAAATTGTCCCGTTACCCACCCCCTACCCCCCAATCAATTTCTCCTCTTCTTGTTTACTCTCTTGTCTTCTCACAATAAAAGCTTCTTGAAAAAATAGTCTATACCAGGAGTCAGCAAGCATTTTCTATTAAGGACCAGGTAGTAAGTATTTTAGATTTTATATGCCATCTGGTCTCTGGCAACTACCCATCCCTGCTGTTACGGGGAGCAAGTGGCCACAGACAATTCCTAAATGAACGGGATTGGTGTGATCCAAGCTGTCATTGTTTACAGAAACAGGTGGCACACTGGGCTTGGCCCCGAGGCCATCATTTGCTGGCCCCTGCTCTCACACGTACTGTCTCCGCTGGAATCACTCTTGTCAAGGTCATCAGTGACTTCCCTGGTGTCCAGTTTGGTGGTCATCCTCTGTCCTAATCTTACGTGAATTTTCAACAATGTAAGACATAATCACTCTTTTCCTCTTCCTTCCGACACTTTTGTTTGGCTTCTGTGACACCATAGTCCCTGATTTTCTCTCCTGTCACTGGTGGTTTTTCTCTTGCATCTTTCCTCCCTCCCTTTTTTCTTCTAGACTGCTGAACATTGGGGTGTCCAAGGGCTCAGCCCTGGGCCATCTTCTCTTCTCTTCTTTTCTCTTCTGTCTGTACCCTCTTCCTAGGTGATTTTTAGTCCTACAGACTTAAGTGTCATCTATAAGCTGATGACTTCTGAATTTCAGTTTCTCTCTTCCAAGCTCCAGACTCATATGTCCATCTTGATATCTCCACTTGATATATATGTATGTATCGCTAGGTGCAAACATGCATTTGCCCAGGCTGGTCAAAAGCCCTGGAAATAGACCTAGTATCTGTGTAGCTTTCAACACCTATTATGTCATTGAGTCTTCCCAACAGCCCCTGAAGTAGGTGGCATCGCCACCACTTTGCAGATGAGGGAACTGACCCCTAGAGAGGTTGCCCTGCTGCTATGTGACAGCAGAGACAGGCCTCAAACTCCTGCCTTCTGGCTGGAAAGTGGAGGGATTTCTCACTGCACCGCAACTGTTTTGGGGGTGCTGAACCTGGGAGTGAGGGAGGCAGGATGGTAGGAAGCGGAGAGGAAGCAGCCGCTGGGTGAGGCACCCTCTTGGGAGGGAATGGGTTTGAGAGGGGCTGCTCAGTGAGACCCAATTCCATTCCATCGCCCCTTTTGATTGGTTACTACTCTTCAGGTAAAACTTCCCGAGTTACGGCCTTTGGTCTCTGATAGCAAAGGCAGCTGTTGTTCTAAGACCAAACCTTCTGGTGATTAAAATACCTCTGTCCAGGCGGCGGAAATGACAAGTATAAAAGCTGCTTTGCTCCCCAGCCTTGGTAGATATAAGTGAAGCGATCCAGCAGAGCAAACCGCCCACTCCCTGCCTGTCCCAGGAGGTGGTGTGAGCCGCTGTTTATTCGACTAGCATCACCTCAGACTTGGCAACAAACGGGTAAAGGAAGCCATAACATAGACACACGCAGAAGCTCGGTATCCTTGTCCCCAGGTGTGAAACCCCTGCAGATCCCAGAGATGAAGAAGGTCAGAAGAGAGCTCTGTCTGGGACTGAGCCACACACAGGGCGAGGAGCTGCAGGGGAAGGAAGGAGTCCCAGCATCAGGAGAAGTGGGCCTCCCGGAAACCTGGGAAAGACAGGGAGATACAATCCCTCCTTCCAACAAGGAAGGAACTTCCTGCAGCGGAAGCAGACTTAAGTTTGCTTTTTGAGCATGTTTTTCAGCCATAAAGAAAACGTGTTAGTTCATAGTCTAGAGGTAGCTCTTCTGCTGGGTTCTACTGAAGGCGGAGGTTCAAATACCTCTGTCAGGGCTTTTGACTTTCTCCCCACGTCGCAGCTTTGCTGTCCTCTTTCCTCTGTCAGGGTGTCCTCAGGGAGGCTGGCTGTTTCCCCCCTGCAGGCACAGATGGCCACACACAGCTCTAGGGCGATGCTGGCCTTGTCATTACATTTACAAAGGGCTCGGCCACTCTTTTTTTTTTAATTATTATTTATTACTTTTTTGATGTGGACCATTTTTAAAGTCTCTACTGAATTTGTTGCACTATTGCTTCTGTTTTATGTTTTCGGTTTTTTGGCCGCGAGGCATGTGGGATCTTAGTGCCCTGACCAGGGATCAAACCCACATCCCCTGCATTGGAAGGCGAAGTCTTAACCACTGGACCGCCAGGGAAGTCCCCAGGCCACTCTTAAATCCAAAATAAAGTGCGTTCAATGAAATGAAGTGGGAGTTCTTTTGGCTGCTGCCTCTTTCACCAGTACGTGTGTTCTTCACGTGTGCGGCTGAGCGCCCTCTCCCCTCCCCTAATACTGCTTCCCAGACTCACGCAATTACCACTGTGGGTTGTAATGCTTTTAATGGGTGGCAACCATCTTTGTTGGTTTTTATTTCAGTGGAAACATTTAGCTCACCGTTAGGTGTAAGTATTCCTTTCTAACTTCATTTCATTGGTTTCCAAGTGGGGTATTTACAAATGTCTTTAAGGTTTGCCCACGGTTTTGGAGTCCCCATGCACAGCTGTGACTGTTTTTTTTTTTTGATGGCACCATCTTCTGGAACTCTCAAAACCCAAAGCTTCCCCTACCCCCAACTTTGAGCCACCTAGGTCTCTCTTCAGGGTTTTGAAGGTTACTGCATACGTGCGCGCACACACACACACACACACACACACACACATATACACACAGATGTGCATGTCTTATTTATTTGTTGTCATCAGTATGTGTAGTAATCACTGATACAGAGGGAAATAGTTTAGTTTTTAAATTAAAACTTTATGATGCCACTTGGCAAGAACTCTGAGTGTTTATTTGCCTGTATCCAAATGGTGGACTCCCTCTGCCTCTGCTGCTTCGGCCTCAGGTCTGGTAAAATTGTCAGTGCAAGTGCAGCGAAGCAAGAGAGCTTTAGGCATTTTCTTCTGAGGCTGCACTTGATCACAGCGTAGGGACCGGTGCTGCCTTGTTTTTCATTTATGCTCTTATTCTAGGCACTTGAAGAGGCCCAGAAAGCGATTCAGCAACTCTTTGGAAAAATCAAAGACATCAAGGACAAAGCAGAAAAATCGGAGCAAATGGTGAGTTCTGGTCTCTTCCGGACATTTTTGCGCCGGAAGAGGAAGTTGGCTTCTCGTCCAGTCACACTAGTCAATAGACTTGTTCTCCCTCTTCCTGCCAAGCACAGCACCCACGTCTCCAGTGCTGGCCCTGTATTTGCAGCCCTGTTTTTAAACAGGGAAAGTTCTCTTCTTCTCCTTTCCCCCAAATAGTTTCCTAGTCATTTTGGATTCCTTTCTCTAGCATTTGTTTATATCACGTGTTTCTCAGTTCAGATGTATGACATGTAACTTGGCATTGCTTGAAAACTGGACCTGGATCTGGGAGGTGGGCCGCATCCTGCCTGTGATACGTGCTGAGGGGCTTGATTAAGCTCTCCCTCTACGCAGTGCTGCCCTCGGGTGATGTGCTCAGGGACCTCCACCGACCGAGAGGCCCACCAGTTTCTTCCCCTCTTAATAAGAATAATAACTACCTCAAAGGGATGTTGTAAGAATTAAACGTATGAAGAGCACAGAGCATAGTACTGGGCTGGGGTTGGTTGCTTAATGAATGAAAGCTATTATTAATGTCATTTTTTTCCCCCTACTCGTTTTGGTTATGAAAACTCCTAAACCCTCCCAGACTTCTCTGCCTACATCGTATTATAATCTACTCAAGAACAGATCCGAGGTCACACTCCCACGGACCCTTCAGTTGTCTTCAATGGCCATTTGGCAAGACTGGACAGGCTGTGGAAGGCGGCGGGGGCGGGCCCGGCTTCAGCAGAGCGCATGGGCGGTGGGGTGGGAGAGGGGACAGTTGGATACCATTAGTGAGCAGCATGGCCTCTGACGTCAGACCACCTGCCTTCAGATCCACCCTCTCTCCTTCCTCCCTGGGGGCCTTAAGCAAGTTACTTACCCTCTCTGTACCTCAGTTGCCTCTCTGTGAAGTGGAGGTAATATTTGTGTGTACATCGCAGAATTGTGGAGATTCGTGAGCACTTAAGACTCTGATCTGCTAGTCTGGACCACGCTCCCTCTTGAAGCCGAGGGGGGATGCAGTAACAGTCTGAGTAGACCGCTCCTAATGCCATTAGATGTTTTATTTTAAAGCAGTCTGGGACTTCCCTGGCGGTCCAGTCGTTAGGACTCTGCGCTTCCAATGCAGGGGGCGTGGGTTTGATCCCCGGTCGGGGAACTAAGATCCCATAAGCCGTGTGGTGTGGCCAAAAAAAAAAAAGCAGTCTGCTTCCCCAGATGGTGCTTTGCTAAAGGGAAGAAGAGGATATTTGTGGAGCTCTTTCACTGTGCCGAGCACTGTGCCCGTTCCTTTATACAAGTGATCTAACTTTGCCCTCACAACAGACCTTACGAACTCGGTTTTACTCTCATTATTATTTTTATGATTGACCATTTTATCAGTGAGGAAACTGAGACTCAGTGAGGCTAAGCCACTTGGTCTAGGACACCGAGTCGGTGAGTGAAAGAGCCGAGATTCAACCCGAGAACTGTCTGACTCCCAAACCTGCCATGTCCTGTTCTGTCCTTCCTTGGCTGCCCAGGGGTAACAGTTAAGGTAAATTAACGACCAGCATTCTGTTTTGTGAACTGGTCTCGTGTGACTTTGGCCTGAGCGCCGCTTGTGTGAGCTGCCATTAAGGGCTTTATTTGGGGAATAACAAGAAGTTGGGTTTGTCTAGGGAAGCACAGGGTGTGTGATGGGGAGAGATGGGGAACACTGGGAGTGAAGGGACCAGTGAGCTCCGGTGCAAAGCAGCGAGGGCCTGGAGGAGGAGCAGAAGGGACAGAGTCTTGAGATGAGGCAGAGGAAGAATGTCCCGGATTTAATGACTGACTAATGATGCAGGACCTGCAGGAACGAGAAGACTGGTAGATGACGCTGACTTTTAACACAGTAGTTGAAGACCCCTGATGCTAGTGCTGGAGCTAAGGAACCCAGGGAGAAGTACAGGGATTTTTTATTTTGGTGGGAAAGAGAATGATGATTTATTTCAGAGTTGGAAGGGTAATTAGATTATAAGGCCGAACTCCTATATCTAGTTTATTATATCAGTCTTGATCGTCTTTCCCCCCAAACTCAGTTATTTGGTAAAGGTGTGGTAGGTTCTTCACCTCTTCCCCAAACCCCCACGATAGAAATAGAGACATTTTGGTGGCCTGAGGGTCACAGAGAGAGCAGGCTTGATGGGCCAAGTCCCCGTGAAAGAGGCTTTTTCTGCTAGGATCCAGGTCAGCCTTGCGGGTTTGTAGGTGTGGATCTCAGCTGTACAGGTCGTGACCTTTACTTCATAACTCTACCCAGGATGATCAAACTCTAAAAAATCAGGTCATGTGAATTTAACTCACTACCGGCCTTTTTCACTTTTAATGGGAGACCTATGTTTCCAGTAAGTAGGATGTTTGTGCCTGTTATCCAGGGCGCTCCCTTCCCTCCGGGTGTCACAGAACCTGGGGAACCTAATTGCTCTTCAGAAAGTTTCTTGTTCAGCATGGACTCAGGCAGTTTAGTGGAAGAGTCCGCCTAGGTGTTAGTAAAGGTGGAGAATTGTTCCCACCTCACTACTGAATGTACTTTTCTAGTGACTGAAATATACTTACGTTCCCAGCTACAGAGTTTCTTTCTCTTGGACCCGCTGGATCAACACTGTTGGAATTTTACTCCCCTGATTGTCATCTGTCTCCCTGAAGACTCTGCTCTTAATGATGTCATGTTAAGCTTACTTTGCGGGGGTTACATTTCAGTCTTCTTGAGATTTGAGGAGAAATCTGGAGACCAGATAATAAACCCTAGATCCACGAATAAAGCCCATCCCAATAGAATTAGCTGACTCATACTATGCTATCCATTTTGTACCGGACCTAGTAACCCCGGTGCCAGAAGGCATACTTCCCTGACCTTGTTCAGGAGGAGATCGGCCGTCCTTGGCTGCTGGGCACCGGGTGCTCCACACTCAATTACTATGTGGCTCACTCCTCTTTACTTGGGGTGAAGAATAAAGTTCATTTCATTCTCACAACTGAGGATTTTGTAACCCTGGGTAAAGTCCGCTGAAGAAATGCCCAATTAAATGTAAACGGGCTGATTGGAAATTATTTTGAGTATGTATTGGGAGGACACCTGTGTTTTCTCCGAGGGCTAACGCGAGGTATGTTTGTCCCTATTTCGTTTGCATTATTTTCTCCAGAGGCCACTTGCAGACCAGTTGACGTCTGTCTTAACCCTCCTCCTTTTTCTCCTGTGGTTTTTCACTGTTTAGGTGAAGGAAATCACCCGCGACATCAAGCAGTTAGATCACGCCAAACGCCACCTGACCACTTCGATCACGACGCTGAACCACCTGCACATGCTGGCGGGCGGCGTTGATTCCCTCGAGTAAGCACGTCAGCGGTCCCTTTCAGGTCCACGGGAAATAAATGTACCACAGAGGAGATGGCACCGTAGGTTTATTTACTTCTCAGCCAGGAGAGTCTCATCATCCTGGCCCACTTCCTGCAAAGCGGTCTCAGATGTTTAGTCACCACTTTGGCTTTGTGCCCTCGGGTGCTCAACGTGTAACAGACACCCGAGACTTTGAGGTGAGGGGCAGGTGAGTCTGAAGGGGCCCAAAAAGCATGTGGAGAATGACTTCAAGAGCACAGGTCGTTTACGTGTGGTAGATCTCTACCACGGAGGCTGACGAGGCGGTGTAAGGCTGTAATCACGCCCCCAGCCTGCGCGTTGGCAAGTTTTCCTGCTTTTGTTGCGCTCAGTTGCACTGTCGTTGAACATGCCTTATGGAAACAGATCCTTGTACCCACTTTTTTCTTTTTTTTTCCACCCACTTGTCCAAAGGCAGAAGCTTTCTGTTTGGCTTGTAGGGGAACTATAGGGAATGGTACATGAGAACATGAGAAACAGTATTAAAAGGAAGAGTTGGTTATTGACCACAACGAAGCAGCCCAAAGGCCTCCTTTCCTAGAAGATTCTGATATTCCTGTTCACTTTTGTGGTCTGTCTCATGAGAATTGCCCCTGTCCCAGCCTCAGTGTAATCTCATGTGTGGATAAAGAAAGAGCACCTCCATAGGGATTTAGACACAGTATCCAAAGTTGGGGCGAGTAGGGGACAGACTCCTTCCTGGTCTCTCCCAGAGATTGCATGGTCTTCAGTGAACCCTGGCCTGTTCTCCTGCGAGCAGTGATCGGAGAGGACAGCAGGCCCATAGGAGACTGGAAGAGCAGTGTCCTTGTCCCTTTCCCCAGGTGCTCAGTGCCTTCCAACAAACCAGCAGAGCAGGCAGTGATAGCAACATAACTCCTTGGCTTGAACTTGAGCCTGTCTTTTTAAATGCCCTGTAAAGGAAGTCATAAATTATACGTTTAATTAAAAAACCCAATCCTAATGAAAATTTTAAATCTAATAGTTTGTTCCTTCCTTGCTGTGTGTAACTGTTGATTTTATCAGCATCCTTTTATTTAAGCTTCATTAACCTTAGCAGCAGGGAAACTAAACATACCTAAACATACACAGAGTTGCTTAACATTGGCTTAAAGTCTACAGATTTGAGTTAACATGTAAGTGCATATACATGCTCTTTGTTGTGTCCTGAGATATGTTTGGTTTGCTCAAATGCCGTAACCCTCAAATAATAACATCTCGACCCCTGCTGTCTGTCAAAAGCCAACAAATCCATAATACCCAACCCAAATCCCAAATCCCAAATCCATAGTCTTCCCAGATTCCCCTTCCCCCACCCAGGGAGACTCCATCACTCACACATTCTTTTGTACGTCCCAGAGCACATAACTTGGACTTCTGTTTAGAGCTCCATTCATCCTACTTAGTACTACTTAGATGTGTCCTGTTGCTCTCCCTTACTAACTCATGTTCCCTTAAGGATTTGGACCTGGTCTTATTTTTTTTCTCCCCCAGTGCACAGCACCATATATATTCAGTGCTCAGGAAATGCTTATTAAGTTGAGTTGATGTCTGTTTTAGAGCAGAGAGTAGGTTGGTCCATATCTGTATCTTGTGTCCTTAGTGTTTTTCTGGAGTCCTCAACTTCCTATTTCCTTGCAGAGCCATGACCAGGAGAAGGCAGTATGGAGAAGTTGCTAATCTTCTTCAGGGCGTAATGAATGTTCTGGAGCACTTCCACAAATATATGGGAATTCCACAGATCCGGCAGCTTTCTGAAAGGTAAAATGTCATTGGAGAAAACGATCTTCTTTTTTAAGAAAAGGTGGTGCTGGGAAGTGCTTAAGCACTCAGCTCAGGATGTTCATTGTACAGTCTCACTGTGGGAAGGAGCCTCAGAGGTCACCTGATCTGACTCTGTCTGTTGCAGACGTCTCCTCTATGTCCCCTCACCACCTCCTTACTATGTCGTCTAACACTACCTGTGTTAGATAGTTGCTGGCCTGGTTCACTGGAGTGAACCAAGCCCACATTCGTTAGGGGAACTGTTCCAGTTGTCTGCTTCCTTGTAACAAACCAACAAAACCCAGGACTTAGTGGCTGATGACAACAGTTATTTCGCTCGTGTAATGTGGCCTGGCCCAGCAGGGACAGCTCATCTCTGCTCCGTGCAGCATCAGCTGGGGTGGCTCCACAGGGGACTGTAGGATACGTTGGTTTAATCTCATGGTTGGCAGATTGGTGCTTGCTGTCAGCTGCGAGCTCAGCTGGGTTGTCCTCCCTGGGCTGCTTGGGCTTCCTCATGGTGAGGTGGTGCTGGGGCCCATGAATGAGCATGCCAAGAGAACCAGGTCATAGAAGCCACAGAGAGTCGTTTCTGTAGACAAGCCTGTCAGGATTCAAGAGGAAGGGATATAGCCTCCGCCACTCCCAACGGGAGGAGTGTCAAATCCCCATTGGTATAAAGAGCACGTGGGGGACTTCCCTGGTGGCGCAGTGGTTAAGAATCCACCTGCCAATGCAGGGGACCTGGGTTCTATCCCTGGTCCGGGAAGATCCCACATGCCGTGGAGCAACTAAGCCCATGTGCCATGACTACTGAGCCTGTGCTCTAGAGCCCCCGAGCCACAACTACTGAAGCCACGTGCTGCAACTACTGAAGCCTGTGTGCCTAGAGCCCGTGTTCTGCAACAAGAGAAGCCACTGCAATGAGAAGCCCGTGCACAGCAACGAAGAGTAGCCTCCGCTCACTGCAACTAGAGAAAACCTGCAGCAACGAAGACCCAATGCAGCCAAAAATAAATTAATTATTTTTTAAAGTATTATTAAATAATAATGAAGAACGAAGAGAACATGGGATGAGAGATCACTGTGGTAGTCTTTGCAAATACAGTCTGCCCTTGAGCTTCAGATGTGACAAAATGATGACTTAGCCTCTTTAAATGTGTTCTTTCCTTCCTATTCTGTTGAGTTTTAATCCTAGATTCAGAGCCGGTAGAAAGAAAGGCAGATGTTTAAAGAGAAGGAAGATGAGGATCTGAAGGAAGATAGGGGTGGGGAATTTAATGCCTTTTCTGTTAGAAGTAGCAGCAGGGAAAATACTAAGAGACAGTCAAAATTGATGGATCCCAACCTTTTTTTTGCAACAAAGAGGAAACGAAGGGGCCGGTACTCAGCAGGAGCCATCATTTTCAACTCTGCTTTCTCATGAGGCCTGGTGGCTGCAGGCCTCTTGTTTTCTAAGTTACTTTATTTCTAATTATATAAGTAATACACGTATACATTTTCTTTATTAGAAAAAAGTCAACATACAGATGAAACTTAAGTCCTCTTTAACTATACCTCACACCCCAGTGCTACCCATAGAAGTAGTTACTATTATCAATTTAATGCTTATCCTCCAGATTTTTTTCTGTGCATTTAAATAAATCTGTAGTTTTAGATTTTGGGTTTATTTTGCTTTGTTTTGTTTTAAATAAATGATCTCATACTGTATGCTTCATTCTGAAACTTTCTCTTTGTTTTTAGCTTAGCAGTGTATTCTAGAGGTTTTTCCACAACAGTGTATACAAACCTATCTCATTCCTTTTAACAGATGCATAGAATTCTGTAGTATAACATACCACAGATTATTTAAAATTTATTTTATTTATTTATTTTTGGCTGCATTGGGTCTTCATTGCTGCGCACGGGCTTTTCTCTGGTTGTGGCGAGTGTGGGCTACTCTTGGTTGCAGTGCGCGGGCTTCTCACTACGGTGGCTTCTCTTGTTGCGGAGCACGGGCTCTAGGCGCGCAGGCTTCAGTAGTTGTGGCACATGGGCTCAGTAGTTGTGGCTCGCGGGCTCTAGAGAGCAGGCTCAGTAGTTGTGGCGCACGGGCTTAGTTGCTCCGTGGCATGTGGGATCTTCCCGGACCAAGGCTTGAACCTGTGTCCCCTGCACTGGCAGGTGGATTCTTAACCACTGCACCACCAGGGAAGTCCCATACCACAGATTATTTAACCATTTTCATATCACTAGACTGTTTGCTTCTAATTGGAAAAATATACTCCCTTTTGCACATCTGCAAGTATTTCTCTAGGATAGATTCTGGGTGATAGGTCACGTGCATTTAAAATTTTAATAACTGCTGACCCTTTGCCCTCTGAAGAGGCTTTATTTATTTATAGTACCATCTGCATAGCGTGTGAGTACCCATTTCCCCATATCCTCAACAGCACGTGGTATTGTCAGTTTTCATTTATCTGATGGATGAAAAATGGTACCTAGTTCCTTTCATTTTCATATCTCTGTTAACTAGTGAGATTAGTTTATTTTCACTTGATTATAGGCCATTTGCATTTCCTCTGTGAAATGCCAGTTTATATCCATTGTCTGTTTGTCTACTGAGTTAGTTATCCCTTCCTTATTGATTTGTAGGAATTCTCTATGTATTCTGGATACTAGTCCTTTGTCAGATCTGGCAGATCTTGCCTGCAAAACTGTGTAGGTGTGTCACCTGTTTTCAAGGCAGATCTTTGTCCTTTCAGTTTCTTCAATGGTAATTGGTCTATTCATGTTGCCTACTTATTTTTTTTCCTTTTTAAAAATTGTGTTGAAATATACGTTACATAAAATTTACCATTTTAATAATTTTTTCGTGTACAATTTCGTAGCATTAAGTATCAATAAATTCACAGTATCGTACAGCCATTACCACTCTATTTCTGAAACTTTTTTATTACCCCAGACAGAAACTTTGTATGCATTAAATAATAACACTCATTGCCTCCTCTTCCCTGCTTCTGGTAACCTGTGTTCTATTTTCTGTCTATGAATTTGCTTATTCTGGGTACCTCATATACGTGGAATCATACACTATTTGTCCTTTTCTGCCTGGCTTATTTCATTTAGCACGTTTTCAGGTTCATTCGTGTCATATCATTTATCAGAATTTCATTCCTTTTTAAGGCTGGATATTTTATTGTGCATATAGACTATATTTTGTTTGTCCATTCATCTGTTGATGGACACTTGGGTTTCTTCCACCTTGTGGCTGTTGTAGTGTAGACTAAGCAAATCTATCATCTGGTGCCTATTAAAAATCTGAAGTCCATCTCATTCTTATTCCTTTATAAAATAACCTGTAAAATAATTTATTTTGTTCTGGAAGCATTTGAGATTTGGGGGTGGGAGAATCAGGAATTTTACTAGGACGTGGGTCTCTTTTCATTCATGTTGCTCTGTACTTAATTGTATTCTTTTCTTTTTTAATATTGTATCTTAATTAATTAATTTATTTTTTGCTGTGTTGGGGCTTCGTTTCTGCACACGGGCTTTCTCGAGTTGTGGCGAGCGGGGGCTACTCTTCATTGTGGTGCGCGGGCTTCTCACTGTGGTGGCTTCTCTTGTTGCGGAGCACGGGCTCTAGTACGTGGGCTTCAGTAGTTGTGGCATGCCGGCTCAGTAGTTGTGGCACACAGGCTCAGTAGTTGTGGCTCGCGGGCTCTGGAGCACAGGCTCAGTAGTTGTGATGCATGGGCTTAGTTGCTCCGCGGCATGTGGGATCTTCACGGACCAGCGATCAAACCCGTGTCCCCTGCGTTGGCAGGCGGATTCTTAACCACTGCACCACCAGGGAAGCCCCCTTAATTGTATTCTTAATCTGAAGACTCATGAGTTTCTTAAATTCCAAGAAATTGTTCTCCTTTATTTCTTCGAGTAGTTTTTGTGCTTTGTTCTCTGTGTTCTCTCTTTGTGGAATCCCTAGTACATGAATATTGGAACTTCTAGGTCTGCTGCCTTGTTTCTTAATTTTTTAAAATACCTTGTATCTTTTTGTTGTGTTAAGCTGAGTTCCTCAACTCAACCCTCCTGTTTTAATTTATTCTTCAATCTTGTCCGTCCTGTTATTTCGCCCAGCTGTTGAGTTTTTATTTCAACAGTCCAACTTTAATCTTCAGGGTATCTAGTTGATTCTTTCTTCATGGGCATAGTATCCTCTTAAGTCTCTCAGGGAGTATAAACTATATGTGTTTTTAAAGTTCTGAGTCGCCTGTTCCATTTCTCTGTCCTCTGATGTCAGGTCTTCAATTTGTTGAGTACGATGACTCTCTTTCTTGGTGTTTGCACTCTGCCAATATTTGGTGATTTCTAGCTGATCGCTCAGTCTTGGCTGTGAGATTCTCTGTCATTCTGATCAGAGATGCTCTTTTACTGTCACCTGCTCGTGAGGGGGAGGCGGGATGTGCCGCTCGGCCACGTGTGCCACAGATTGTGCTTCTCAGGTGAGGTGGAGCTGGAGCTGGGGGAACTGCCAGGTGGGATATGCTGGTGGCTTATCTTCTGGGCCCAAGGCCTCCCTGATCTGCCTGGATGTTGTCAGCCCTCTGGTCCCTACTGGGCTTCTCAGACCCACGCCCATTCCTGACCTGAACACTCAAGGCAGGGGTGAGACCTGGGCACTGGCTTCGTGGCTCCTCTTGCAGGACCCCAGAGTATCCCTCCAGCGGTTCCCTGGGGCCCCCCTCCTGCTCTGGTATCCACTCCCCTCGTGTCCTTCATCTTTGAGAAGCCATTTTAGGCAGGGGTTTCCTTCTTCAATCCTCTCCTACCAGAGTTTCTAGTCTACCACTCCTTTTCTTGCCCAGTTCTGGATTCTTATTAAAATCTTTTCATTGGGCTTCCCTGGTGGCTCAGTGGTTGAGAGTCCGCCTGCCAATGTAGGGGACACGGGTTCGTGCCCCGGTCCGGGAAGATCCCACATGCCACGGAGCGGCTGGGCCCGTGAGCCGTGGCCGCTG